CACATAGAAAAACTTAAGCAGTAAGACGTAAGCAGTAAGCAAATTGACCACACAGAAATCACAGAAATCACAGAATCACAGTCGTTGATTCTTGGGCCGTAAGAAGAATCAATAACTATGATTGGTCAATTTGCTTACTGCTTACGTTTTACTGCTTAAGTTTTTTTGTGTGCCACTACTCTTAAAGGGACGTCTACATTGGAAGTAAATAGCAAGAAGTAGGAAGCAAGAGTAAAAAATTGACCAACACAGTCGAATGTGAGAAGAATAATCAACTATGATTGGTCAATTTCTTATTCTTACTTCTTACTGCTTATTAAATGTAGACGTCCCTTTAAGCGTCTTCTACAATGGCAATAGGAGTAGTAGTAAGAAATAAGCAGTAAGTAAATAGACCAATCACAATCGATTATTTTTGAAACGTGAGAATGGAATTGGTTAATTTGCTTACTGCTTATTTCTTACTACTACTCCTACTGGCATTGTAGAAGACGCTTTACATCGTGCATATGCGTACTAAATAGTAACTTTCTATTAGATAATCTTAATATCGACAATGCATATCAACGGCGACGCATTCAATCAATACAATATATTTTGTCGATGAATATTATACCAGCTTAATATACCGTTGTTTATATATATCGTCGATATTAAGATTATCTAATAGAAAGTTACTACCCACACAGCATAGAAGTTTTAAAAAGCTTTCAGAAAGGTTTCAGAGACACAACAGAAACGTTAAACTTTTCTAAGATCTTCCTGAAATCTTTCTAAAAGCTTTTTGAAACTTCTGTGCTGTGTGGGTATTTAGTATGCGTATCAAGTGCACGATGTAAACCAAGTCATTAAAATTATCTAATAGAAAGTTACTATTTAATACGCGTATCAAGTGCACGATGTAAACCAAGTCATTAAAATTATCTAATAGAAAGTTACTATTTAATACGCGTATCAAGTGCACGATGTAAACCAAGTCATTAAAATTATCTAATAGAAAGTTACTATTTAATACGCGTATCAAGTGCACGATGTAAACCAAGTCATTAAAATTATCTAATAGAAAGTTACTATTTAATACGCGTATCAAGTGCACGATGTAAACCAAGTCATTAAAATTATCTAATAGAAAGTTACTATTTAATACGCGTATCAAGTGCACGATGTAAACCAAGTCATTAAAATTATCTAATAGAAAGTTACTATTTAATACGCGTATCAAGTGCACGATGTAAACCAAGTCATTAAAATTATCTAATAGAAAGTTACTATTTAATACGCGTATCAAGTGCACGATGTAAACCAAGTCATTAAAATTATCTAATAGAAAGTTACTATTTAATACGCGTATCAAGTGCACGATGTAAACCAAGTCATTAAAATTATCTAATAGAAAGTTACTATTTAATACGCGTATCAAGTGCACGATGTAAACCAAGTCATTAAAATTATCTAATAGAAAGTTACTATTTAATACGCGTATCAAGTGCACGATGTAAACCAAGCAATTATGAACTTCTTCGGAATCAATTCCGATCGGAATAATTCCGTTTCCCCTAAAAAAGACAATAGAAATCTAGGAAATAACTAAATGTTTCCGATCGGAATTGATTCTGAAGAAGTCCATAATAGGTACCCTGATTGGCTTTCTATCTTTCTGTTTTCTGCCAAGGCAAATGCGCTCTAAAGATAGCGGCACACGGTGCTTGTTTTCGTGCTGGATTGCTTGCTGGATGGAAATATTCTGTTCTTATTGGTGCATTTCTGAAGACGGACCAATCATAATAGAATGGCCTGGTTTACATCGTGCACTTGGTACGCATACTAAATAGTAACTTTCTATTAGATAATCTTAATATCGACAATGCATATCAACATCGACGCATTCTATCAATACA